GTACCCACTCATGGCTAATCTTGTTTTATATGCACCCTTACCTACTCTTTTCTCCTTTCTTTTTTTTTTAAATGTCAGAAATTTTAATGTATCTTTGAAAAGAAACCAAAGATTAAGATAGGATTTCCTTGGAGGTTTTCAATCAGTGGCTCCGGGTTACCACCTGGGGAGATGTAAAAAGAGGGCTCTGATAATAACTTTTAGGGACAGCTACCAGGACTATCCCAACTATACTGTGCTTACATATTTATGGTGCCATTTAATGTTTTAATTATGATTGAACACATTTATTATGGCTGTTAAAATAGGTTTCACTTCACTAGTCCACAGAATTTGGTATGTAGGACACATATGCCCAACATGTAAGTTTCTATAATAATCTCCATAGGTTAACAGATAAAAACAACAAGTTAATGCTTGAAGTACTTTTGGTTGCAAAATTAGAGTGGGTATTTCTCTTATCAGGTAAATTACCATAATAAGTGGCAGTCTGTGGCAAAGAAAAAGTGTCTTTTTGGAAGGAAAAACATTTAATTTTAAGTAGGAACATTCTTTTGATACTTGTATCCAAAGTCTTTTCCTATTAAATGTGCTGTTATATTAAAAATGCTGGTATACTAGTAACTTTGACATAGGCGGGGTTGGAGCCATGGTTTTGTGTAACTTGAATTAGAACTCCTTTATTTAATTTTGGCTTGAGCCTTTAATTAAACCATAATTTAACTTCACCATTGCTACAGCAGCAGCAGCTCCTTTTGCTGCTCTTTTTGTTGGAATATGCATGGTGGTTGTACTTTCCAATGCAAAATAAATACAAACATAATTCAGCTGCCTTAGATAAGTGTTATTTAATCAGATATGTCTAATACATCACTTGGAAATATTGTGATGGTTTAATCATACACTGCCTTTTTATGCTGAGACTATATTGTGTTCTGAGGTTGTATTAATGGGGTTTGTGTCAATAGAAAGATCCACCCAATTAAAAGGAGCAGAGAAAAAGCCTTTCATGTCTATGCGGATACCTTTTTAGAAGTCACTCTTACATTTGCAGTGGAACCAGGGGCACTGGGAGTGTTCTCATGATGGTTCACATGATCATTTTAATTGAATAAACAAGGCTGTATTTTAGCTTCTCTGCCTCTTTTTCTCGTTAAAACTTAATTTCTTAGATGAATTGGACACATGGATTCCTTAATTCACTCCTTCCCCTCAAGAGCATGTTATTGTAAACGATACAGTTTAATTGTCATGAAGTGGGAGTTAATAAAAATACTAGAATTGAGGTTTCATTATTGTGAGAGCAAATGGCTTTGGACCAACTATACTTAAAATTAAACTGAAGTTGTCTTTCTTGGCAGATAGGCCTCAGTGTTTAGCTGGAGTAGAGCTGATCTATGAAATATATATAGGATGGCCTGATGGATGGTTTTATTTCTCTGTAGATACTATGCAACTTCAGATTATATTATTCCAGGGGTCCTCAAACTACGGCCCGCGGGCCACATGCAAATACAAATATTGTATTTGTGCTTTTAAGTGTCATCATGCTTTGAATTTAGAACCAAATCAGAGATGGGATACAGGAGCTCATCAGATAAAACTGTCAATATCAGTAAATAAAGTAGATTGCAAAATGAAATTTAGACCTGATGCCAAATGGGCCTCTTCATTTGTATTCAGGCCCCAGGTTTACTCAAAACCAGTCATAGGTAATGCTGGAAACCTTAGACTTCTTCCACAGAAGCAGGCCACTTGCAAAACATGGGTTTGCATAGGATATATATGTCCTGAGAGTAAACTGTTCTGAAAGAGCAGCAGATATGGGCATGTGCTTTCCCTCCCTCCCCCCACTTTTTCTTAGCACAAATTGCTCTTCCTTAGAGAGGAATGAGTTATATAGGGAGTGTTCACTAGCATAGTGGTTTTCAAGGAGTTTGTGATCCACAGTAATAAATACATTTTAGTTATGACCTGGCACACATACACGTGGAATAAGTTTCGTGAAACATTGCTTATACCAAACTAGTGTACTTAATATTTTCTACTTTATTAAAATAAATGCTAGTCACTACCTTTTAAACTGATTTTATATCACATAAATGGGATGGGTACAGTTAGACAGACTAAACTGGCTCCCACAGAGATGATTCCCACGTGAAAACATGAGCCAGGGACTTAACTGGTCCTTTTCCTTGCTTATAAGATGATATCATTTCTACCCACAGCCAACTATCTGAACATTAGAGGATGTTGTGCTATGCTTATCTTGAGATATACAATTACTTATACAAATACAAGAGGTCCGGTGCATGAAATTCATGCATGGGAGGGAGGGGGGGCCCTTAGCCTGGCCTGTGCCCTCTCGCAGTCTGGAACCCCTTGCTCCTTACAACTCAGCTCACTGTTCCTTAGTGGTACTGCGGAGGCAGGAGAGGATCCCGCCATCACCACTGTGCTCGCCATCCATGAGCCCGGCTTCTGGCTGAGCAGCGCTCCCGCACTGACCACCAGGGGGCAGCTCCTGCGTTGAGCATCTGCCCCCTGGTGGTCAGTGCGTGTCGTAGCTACTGGTTGTTCCACTGTTTGGTCAATTTGCATATTAGACTTTTATTATATAGGATTTGTTAGAGAACCTAAAATCTCAAATTTATTTATTTCCCTTCAGTGCTTCTCACTTACTATGAAAGAAAAAAATATGTAGGATTGCCTAACATAACATTTTATTTCTCCCTAGATACTTAAAAAGCTTTCTTCAGATCCAGATAGGCAGAGAAGTATATTCTCATACCGTACTGTTCTCTACCCCTATAGAATTTTGTTTTTACCTAACAGCATGTAGATGTTTTGTCACTGGCCCACATGGAAGGAACGTATAAGACATTACCCAGTGTCACTCACTGTAGTTCTTTAAGGGCAGTGTTCACTCAGTGGGAGCCAGTTTTAGAAAGACCCAAAGGAGCATTTATTGTTTGCTTTTGGTATCAGCAATAGTGCTTTTTCTTCGCACCTGGTTTATTTTTATGTTAAAGACACTGATTTATGGAATGGATCATGTTGCCCTATTTGTGTTGACAGCTAGAAGGTAGAGAGCTGAATTTGTGGCCTATATTTATAAGATCAAATCATATCAATTTCTTTATGGCCATCATCATCCTGGTGCATTTGTTGTTTTTTGTTGTTGATATTTTGGATCTCTCAGCCATTACTTTTCCATTAGTCCTAATTTCCATATATTTTAAACTATTTAGAGGTTGTATGCCACTTCAAGTCCTTTATAGGAATAAATATTTAAAATTAGATTTTAAAAGTTAAATAAACTTAATTGTTAGAAAAGTAGAATCTTAAGTTTGTGAACTTGATAAGTTTATTGTGACTTGTTTTAAAAATTATTTGAATAAACATTTATTGTTAGAAGTCTATTTAAATGTATTCCTATGTCACGCACTGTTGCTACTTTTAAAACATTTAATATCTGTTGGTATCATGATAAAATATGATTTTGAAGGATAAAATAAACCTTGTAGATTCTTAAAATCTTTTCAGGAATGAGGTTGAATATAGTCCAATTAATATTAGAATTAAATGTTTTTAGTTATTTCCATCTAACAGTGGTTATAATATAATAAAAAATAAATTCTATAAGTTATACATGTTAGTGTTTTCCAGTACATAAAATCAAGTTACGTGTAGATTTTTTTTTAATATATATTTTTATTGATTTCAGAGAGGAAAGGAGAGGAAGAGAGAGATAGAAACATAAGTAATGAGAGAATCATTGATTGGCTGCCTCCTGCATGCCCCACACTGGGGATCGAGCCTGCAACCCGGGCATATGCCCTGACCTGGAATTGAACCAGTGACCTCTTGGTTCCTGGGTCAACGCTCAATCACTGAGCCACACCCGGCTGGGCACATGTAGAATATTTTAAAACTGAGTTCATAATTTCCCAAATAAATTTCTGCTAAATTTATGCTATTACTTGCCAAACAAGTGTGTTTTTTAATCAAAATAAGTTTATCATGCTGTGTGAGATGTAGAAAATTTTGTTTAAAAATTACTTAAATGTGAAAGAAAAATTAATTTTGATTTATAATTTTAATTTAGCTATTTATATACTATGACCTCTGAATATAATCTTATTAGCAAATTTCAGAATATTATCTAATTAATATTGTAAATCTTACATTCCAAATAGATTTAAAATGATTTAAACATTTTAAGAACTTATAATTCGTTAATAAATCAGAGTTAGAACATGGAGAGTTTTAACAAAATATGAATTTCTCAGTTAAAGAAGTGAGTTGAGTATAAATGTCAGCTTTCTTGTGAAATTGTAAATTAACAGATAAATGGTATGGTCATTTTGGTTAGAAAAAGGTCAGGTATTTCAAGCAATGCTGTAAGGTTGGTGTGAAATCTCTTTATAATAGAGTGAACATTATGTGTAGAATATGTTGAGATACAGAACTGTGGTAAATACTCTTATTATGAGTATGGGAAGAAAGCATGTTTTTGGAAAACTATACTGTCAACCCTGTACTACTTTTTAATGCACACAATTTAGTCTTTTCTCAGTGATTTGGGATTACTTAAAATTTAGTAGAGGTATTTTATATAAGTAAAATACTATGGCCCTAGAATTTTCATGAATAATTTCCCAGTGTTCACTAAACTCACTTTTGTTTAATTTTCTCAAAAGAATATTTATATTTGTTAATTATGCTTCTGGTACAGACCTGTTTTATGTCTGAGTTGTCTTTAGCTTGTGATACTGCTTTAAGTTTATATATTAATAACAATTTTTATATTTTCTATAAATGTTAATATTTGCTTGATTCATCACTAATCTTAGAATGGAAAAAAAGGTATCTGTCTATCTACACACACACACACACACACACACACACACACACACACACACACATTCCTTTTAATGTACTCCTATCTACTTTCTGTGTTCAGTGAAACTTCTTAACATTTTAACCTATTCTTGCAGGATTCATGCTTGAACCAGATCCAGAGCGTAGACCTGATATATTTCAAGTGTCCTATTTTGCATTTAAATTTGCCAAAAAGGACTGTCCCATCTCCAATATCAATGTAAGTAATTTTTTAAATGGGATATGAATTTAAAATCCATTTATTATGTGCATGTGTGTGTGTGTGTGTATGTGTGTGTTTATGTATATACACATACACACTTTCAGAGTTCTTTGTTTTGTGACCAGTAGTCTAATAGTGTTTGTGATCAGTATTTTTGTTACAAAACCACAGTTGCCAAATTGGGTATTGAAGTGCTCTAGGAAGCTATAGTATACTTGAAGGCACTGCATGATACTTTGCAGTTTTGAGAGAAACATAGTGACATCTGTCTGACACAGCACAAACAACAATTAAGTTGTTTTGGCCAAACTATTAAAAAAACAGGACTGTTAGATTTTTTGGGGGGGGGGGAATTAGGAGTGTTATGAAAAATTACTGAGAAACTAAGCACTCTATACACTCAGAAAGTTTGGTGCAGAGAGGATAGACATTGTAAATGGAGAGACCTGTCTCTTTCAGTGACTGATTTTGTATAGTCATCCCTCAGTATCCACAGGGGATTGCTTCCAGGACTCCCCCAGGTACCAAAATCTGCGGTGCTCAAGTCCCTTATATAAAACTAGAGGCCCGATGCACGAAATTCGTGTAAAAGTAGGCCTTCCTTCCCCTGGCTGCCAGAACCGGCTTCCCTCTGGCACCCGGGACCCTGGCTTCCCTCACAGTCCCAGCTTCACCTGGACAGTCGTCCAGAAGATTGTCTGGTCTAATTACCATATTACGCTTTTCTTATTATAGACTAGAGGCCCGGTGCACAAAATTTGTGCACTGGGGGGTGTGTGTCCCTCAGCCCAGCCTGTACCCGCTCCAATCTAGGACCCCTTGGGGGCAGTCGGACATCCCTCTCACAATCCAGGACTGCTGGCTCCCAATCACTCGCCTGCCTGATTGCCCCTAACTGCCTCTGCCTGCCAGCCTGATCATCCCCTAACCACCCTCCTGCCAGCCTGATCATCCCCTAACCACTCCCCTGCCAGCTTGATCGATGCCTAACTGCTCCCCTGCTGGCCTGGTTGCCCCTAACTGCCCTCTCCTGCTGGCCTGATTGCCTCTAACTGCCCTCCCCTTTTGGCCTCATCGCTCACAACTGCCCTCCCCTGCCGGCCATCTTGTGGCTCTGGGCACCGCCATCTTTGAGGGTGGAACAGTCAATTAGCATATTTCCTCTTTATTGGCTGTGGTCACCGCCATCTTTGAGGGTGGGACAGTCAATTAGCATATTTCCCTCCTTTTGGGCTGTGGGTGCCACCATCTTTGCGACAGTGTGAGGGTCAATTAGCATATTCCCTCTTTATTAGATAGGACTAGAGGCCCGATGCATGAAAATTCGTGCAGGAGTAGGCCTTCCCCCGTCTGCTGGCACCAGCTTCACTCTAGCATCCGGGACCTGGGCTGCTTCCCTCTGGCTGCCCGCAGGCACCCAGGACCTGGTCTGCTTCCCTCTGGCTGCCTGCAAGCACCTGGGACCCGGGCTTCACTCCAGCCCCAGTTTTTGTCTGGAAGGGCGTCCGGAATGACGCCTGGAAGGGCGTCTAGTCTAATTAGCATTTTACCCTTTTATTATTATAGATGGTGTAGTATTTGCATATATAACCTACTCCCATCCCCTCTCTCCCCCATTCCCCACCCCCGTGTATTTTAAATCATCTCTAGATACCAGTAATACCTAAGGTAAGCGATATGTAAACAGTTATTATACTGTATTGTTTAGGGAATAATGACAAGAAAAAAATGCCTGTACATGTTAGTAGAGATACAGCCTTCATAGGCCTACCTACATACTACATGTCAGCAATGTAACGTTTTTTTTTCCTGAGTAGTGTTTTTGATTCAAACTTTGTTGAATCTGCAGATCTGGGACCCATGGATATGGAAGGCCAACTGTATTTTGGGAAGTTACTTCATGTTTTTTCCTTTCCTGTAAAACAGGGGTGGTAGTTATGAGGATTACAAATAATAAATGTAAACTCAGTGCCTCGTCCATGGAAGGTGCTGAGTTTGTAATAGCTAATGTCATGGAAAGGCTTTGAGTTATATTGTGTGTCTGCACACTGTACTTCACTATGTCAGATTAACTGTGTATGGCAGGTTTCTGATAACTTTGATAAAGGCCCAGAATCATCTCTGATTTTAAGCCATTCTCAGCTTTGTAACAATCATTTTGGCCTCATTTTCTTGTCTATCTTCCTTTATGTATGACTTAATCTACTCCACTAAGGAAAAGAGGGAAGTTAGCTTTTCATTCAATAAACATTTGAGTACCTGCAATAAGCTAAACATATATAGAACTTAAACAAATGCTCTTGTGTTTTAGAGTTTACATGCAGTGTCATGAAAGTTTTTCCTCTATGTAGAAACAACACTTTTCCATATGCTTGGTGTTTTTTCCCCCAAAGTGTAAAATAGTCATTGATTTACAAGTATAATGTAATTCTTCTTTTTAGCCAAGATTTGCCCACTTATAAAGTGGATACAGTGATATTGTTCTGTTTACTTTTGAAGAGTTTCTGTGGCACATGAACATGAAAATGACATTTGTGTAACATGCTGATGTTTGCAGGTTAGATCTGGCAAATGTATGTGAACAATTTGTAGCTATCTGGGGTGAAAATAATAGTATCTTCCAGACAATACATTTAAAATTTAAGAATATATCGATAGCCTTTAAGTAAAGCTTTCTGCAATTAAAATGAAAACTAAAATGACAAGTTTTATTTTTCTTCCCAGAATTCTTCTATTCCTTCAGCTCTTCCTGAACCCATGACTGCTAGTGAAGCAGCTTCTAGGAAAAGCCAAATAAAAGCGAGGTAAGCGAAGTTGTGCTGACATTTGCAAAGGCTTTTTGAAAAGGGGAATATTTCTCATTTTTAATCCTAGCAAATGTAATTAATTAAATATCATCTAAACCTACATAAAAATGTTGTGTTCCTTCTTACATATGGTATAGAGTTTAGATAATGTTACCTTTGAGATTTCTTAGTCACAGCTTTTTTATGTTGTATTTTTACTGATACAAAGTATTTTATTTGACATAAAATATATTTGTCATGTACCTATTATATGCAAGATATAGATAATAGAAACACAAAGAAAAAGAAGCAGTGTTTATTTTCAAAGAGTTCACATTCTAATGAAGATAGACAAGTGAACAATTCCATCCTGATAGATATCAGGCAACTTTGTGCGTGGAGGAAGGGAAAGACGGGGAGCAGAGAAAAGAGGAGCACAGAAAGAACCCAGTCCTTTCCCTGGGCGGGGGGGGTGGTGGTTGCTGAGCTGCTGCTCAAAGGATGAATAATATAGTCCATCACCTGATATGATAGGTACTTCAGGCAAGAAGAGTGGCCTTTGTGAGACTGTAAGTCTGGAATATAGGGGACGCATACGGGTGGGAAGTGTATACTGGAGTATGGGGGATGGATACGGGTGGGAAGTGTATACTGGAGTATGGGGGATGGATACAGGAGTGGTGGGAACGAAGCTGAAGAGCTAGGCAAATGTCAGTCAGGAGCAACTTTATTTATATGTCTTGCTGAGAAATTTGGCCTTTGGCGTTTAGAGCAGTGAATTTTAAACCTTGCAGTCAGTTCTGTTTGGGACTTGGTTGTGAGATGTGTTCTGAATAATCTATTATTTATAAATTGTTAAAGTGTCATTTGGGAATGACTTAGTTTTTAAAAAAATACGGCATCACTCAAAAAATATCTTCATTTACTTGAATTTTAAAATACTCTTCAGGAAGAGATGAAGGAGTAAAATTACATCTAACCCATAGGAATTCAGCGTGACCAACAGTGTGTTCTGTCTGTGACATAGCTGTAGTTAGCAGCTGTTATAGTCAAATGGGAATTATGAATTTTGTCCATTGAATTTTATTGTTACTTATGTTTTTTAAATAGTTATTTGGTTAATTATTAAATCTTTAAGGAAGTAGATATAGCTTTAAAAAGCATGAGTCAACTGAATAAGAATGATGCTTTGAATATCTTCACTAGGACACAAGTTATAGCTATCCTATATAATAAAAGCCCAGTGACCAAATGGTGGAACGACCAGATCGACCAGTCCACCAATTGCTATGATGCGCACTGACCACCAGGGGGCAGACGCTCAACGCAGGAGCTTCCCCCTGGTGGTCAGTGCGCTCCCACAGTGGGAGCGCCGCTCGGCTGACTGGGATGAGCTGTGCTCCCCCAGTGGGAGCAGCCGCTCAGAGGGCGAGTCCACAGCTGCTTGGCTGACCGGGATAAGCAGCTGCTCCCATGGCAGACGATCCCCACAGGCCATGCCCTCCACCAGTGCACAAATTCTGTGCACTGGGCCTCTAGTACTATTATAAGCAAATGAAATAGTTAACTGCTAAATTAACAGTGCTATTCATAATATGTTAAAACTATTCATTATGTATATTTAAAAAAAGTTTATTTGTAAATTTACTTTATAATGATAGTTTCAGAGCTTGAAAAAAAACTAAATGTGTATTAATCTAGTCATAAAAATAAGTTAGTCTTTTTTCTATGTAAAAGGCATATTTGTGGGGGTGAGGTGGGGTGGAGAAATCTTTAAACAGCTAGTATCACTAATTAAAGGTTTTAAACTTTTGTGAATATTATACATCTGCCCTGCTTCAATCTCTGGCACTCTGCTTTACTCCTTAAAAGCCCCCTGCATCTCCTCTTGGAAACTTATGTGACACCTTAAAGATTAAGAGTCTGAGAATCTCTTGTGCTAGCAAGAACACTGAAGGATTTTAAGAGGAGAGAAACTATGTTTTAGGATTATTCAGATGATAAGAGGAAGGATAAGAAGGAAAGCACGGGGAACAGTTCTGTGTCTATTGCATTATGCAGATGAAGCGGTGCAGCAGCTTTGCTACCAGTAGTGACTCAGTCTTTCATTTCAGGCAGGTGTGTGTGTGTCTTCACTTTGCCTGGCTGTCTAGGTTTTTCTTCTCATTTCCTCACACACAATGCTTTGCTTCTTTTCCCTCCCTAATACTCTTTCTTTCTTACTTTTTTCAATTCCTACTTGAAGCCTTCTCAGGCCAATTTAGGTTAAAGTTAGAATTAATTACTCCTCCATGAAACTGTTGACAGTACTAGTGTGGCAGTGATGATGTTTGCTGTTATATTTTAGTATATTTTTATGAACATGTGCTGTATCTCCCTATGGATTCTTTGAAGACAGGGTAGTATGCCGTGTTTGCTGGATATCAGTAATTGTATATTAGATATTGGTACATTGGTAAAATAAATGAGGAAGCGCTAAACGAAGTCTTCAGAACTTTAGAAAGAGAGTTAGAATAGGAACAAGGCGATGAGGTCTGTTAATAAAGAATGGATAAACAGAAAGAGTGTATATATTATGTTCTCTAAATTACTTGAGTGTAGGGAGTACAATATTGGTTTTAGTGCCACATCCATCATTTGAACTTAATAAATATTTGATTTATTATAAAATAAGATCTAGTTGGTTATATGTATACATGACCTTTTATTGCTTTTTAGTTCAGTTTTCATATGACTTTGACCATCCCCATCTCATCTAAAACATAAATATTACATTAGGAAACGGCATACATACAATGTCTTTCTGCGATTTTCTAAAATACTTGAACCTCCTTCTTAGAAAGATAGTTGTGCCCATGGCTCCCTCTTGTGGCTCATAAGAGAGAATTGGATCTGTGCAATTCTGGCAGACAGGACTGGATCCACGGCAGCAGATGTGCACTTCATAAATCATGTATATGCACAATGTGAAGTGTTAAATCATTTGAAAATATGCTCATGAAACTTGGTAAAGAGATTTTATTCCAATCTTGTTGAAGAGTGAACTATTAAAATTGAATTTTTGTACTGAATTTATAGAAAGCAAAGTTAGTAAGTATGCAAGTTAAAGATTTTTCCTGGGGTTTTCTGAAAGAGAAGAGCAAATACCTGTGTTTTCTTAAATTATATTTATTGTCTTTTGCTTTTAAAATTATGATTGCTACTTGACTGCCCATGTCTGTGGTCTAACCTGAGTCCTAGTGGGAAAGTTTTATGTAATTTCCATTCAGTGTTTTAAGAAAAGCAAAGTTTAAGATTCAAGAAGTTAAATGTGAGCAGGTAGCTCCATTTGTGAAAAGTTTTGGCTTCTTTTGTTACTATGTGTCCTAGGGTGCAGTCTCTTCTTTCTTAGGCCTAGAGTCCAAGCTAAGGACGACTGTTACTTATTGTTTCTTATTTGTATTTCTCTGGTTGGTTCAGAGAGGGGGCTCTCAATTTTGTCTAAAACCTTAGGACAAGGTTTGTGTATTTCCTTTATTTTATCTCCTTAAGAGCAATCTTATATTCTTTTCCTGCCAGTTTCAGAGGCAGACTGTGAATGGTTGCATACTGGTTTAAAGGAAATGGTTAGGCTTAACTTACTTTCCTATCTTCAGTAAACATTTATTTATTTTTTAAAGTATATTTTTATTGATTTCAGAGAGGAAGGGAGAGGGAAAGAGAGATAGAAATATCAATGATGAGGGAGAATCATTGATCCGCTGCCTCCTGTAGGTCCCCCACTGGGGATTGAGCCTGCAACCAGGGGTACGCCCTTACCAGGAACTGAACCGTGACCTCCTGGTTCATAGGTCAATGCTCAACCACTGAGCCACACAAGCATAGCACAGTAAACATTTAAAACTTGTGAGTGAGACTTAGGAAGGAGCCAAGAACTCTAACATGATTGTAATAATAATTAAAGTGCATCTGTTGAAATAGATGCTTTATAGAACAGAGAGTGAATTAGAAATAATCCCAATATTTGGAATGAAATGTATTCTTCTCTTGTAGAATAACAGACTCCATTGGACCAACAGAAACCTCAATTGCACCAAGACAAAGACCAAAGGCCAACTCTACTACTGCCACCCCCAGTGTGCTGACCATTCAGAGTTCAGCAACACCTGTTAAAGTCCCTTTGCTTGGGGAATTCAGTAACCACAGATCAAAAGGTAATATAGCCCTGCCAACTTAAGAATTAATTTATAGTTAATGTAAACACACCTTTGATTTCCTAGGCGTATAAATTACTTCAAACTTACTGTTGTGAAGCAGATAACATAATGCTTTAAGAAACTTTCTACTGATGTCTAATAAACTCAACTAATTATTTTCCTAAAGTTGTAGGACATACAAAAGTATGGTATACAAAGCCCACAATTTGTTTATCCTTAGTGTCATCAACTAGTAGGGTTTGAGGTTGATGATAAAGTTCAGGAATATAAAAATTCTGTATTGTATTGGGAAGGAGGAAGTTGGAACTCTAGCCTCACAAAGTTCTATGTCTTTGCACTGATCTAGAGCCTTGGCCACAGAGTCTGTCTTGGACTGTGTGGACAGTACAGCATAGAAATTTGTCATGTCATCTGGTTTTGAGAAAAATTGTTTTTCTAATATAAAATATCCTCTAAGCATTATGAATCAGTATAGGATTTAAAAATAAATATCTCCCCCTCCCCCAAAGAAATATCCCTAATATTAGAGAGTAAACTTGTTCTGTCAAAGGTTTGGGGATATAACTTGAAGACCCATCTCAAGGAAACCCTCTCTGGCACTTTATTTCATGATACATGTTTTTTTTTTTAATGTTCAGATGTTCTAAGTTAGATTACTCTAATGGTTAAGATCCCATATTTTAAAGCTCATGAACCTGGATCTGAGCCCCCCCCCCCCCCATTTTTCACTAATATATGTTAGTAAAATGCTAATATTTCTCATAGGATTGTTGTGAGGATTAAATGACTGTTTAATATAATGCCTGTCACATAATATGTCCTTAATAAATGTTAACTGTTAACTACTGCTATTATTATGAAGTAAAATAAATGCTTAGGGAAGGTAATTTTTATGTTACCTGACGTATTGCTGCATATCTCTGTGGTGATCACGTATACCAGATAGAGTACTTTATGGAAGAGGGGAGGGAAAAATAGGGGAATTTGAAACCCTTTGTGTCCAATTCTCATTTTACCATTTCTTAATCTCACTGTTCTCTTTTATAAAATGGGAATCACAACTTTTTCCTGTCATAAGGAGTAAATAACAAAGGTGTATGAATGATATCTAGGAAAATTATGTTTCATAGTAAACATTCAGTGTGTTAATTTTTCTCTTTTTACTTTTTTGGGTTGGAGATCCTATTAGTCAATTATATATTAATGCCCTTCAGGTGAAGACTACCAGCATCACACTTGTAGTTGGACAAATGGGTTTATTACTCACATGCCATGGGGATCTGTGGGAGTGCCTCAGTAAAATGGTATTTGAAAAGCCTTATTAAAGGATTTAGGCTTGTGTTAGGTAGTTTTGGGGAGGCTATAAGGAAGTGGGGCTTTGCTCTGAATGGAAGGAGTTAGGAAGGGGGTGTGTGATATCATTAGGTGCCTTCATAAATAGGAGGAGGGCGGCCAAAGCCTCAGTTGAAGAAGCAGCCCTCATCATGTTGGGCAGGATAGGGAGGGTTCGGTCACTCTGTGGTATGGGCAGAGTTCCTGATTTTGTCAGTGCCGAGACATGATCATGGAGTGGTCTTGTTGTCCTGATCCACCATGGTCACAGAGGGCTTTGTCTGGTGTTGGTGTTGAGTGAAATTGCTTATGTTCATTTGGGAAACAAGACCTCGCTGTGAGTGCCAGGCCTGCTGCCTTCCATGTAGGGCAGCGTTTATCCCATGTGCTTCTAGCCTAAGCTGGAAAAATAATACTGTTTTCCCCATGTGTGCAAAAAGTAACAGACAAATCTATTCTTTTACAATATTGAGACAGTACAGCAATAATCAGAGAAAAATGTAAAAAGTCTCCATTCTTTTTCTTCTTGGAATAAACTTGCAGCAGTTCAGTGTGTAGCCCGCATTTGCTCTTATTAGTATTGGGATGAATATTCTTATAGCAGACTTTTGATTTACATGTCAGAACACTTTTCTGAGGAAGATGTTAAAAAGTACGCTTAATTAAAATTTGTTAGATAATGCCAAGTTGCTATCTGAAAAGACTTCAAAAATTTACACTACCGTCAACAGTGTGAGTGTCCTTTCATTACTATTCTTGTCAACAGTTGGTAGTATCGGTTTTTAAAGATGTTTCCCCATTGATAGGTGAAACTTTTTTTGGTTATATTTAACCTAGAGGCACGGTGCACGAAATTCGTGCATGGGAGGGGGTGTCCCTCAGCCCGGCCTGCACCCTCTCCAATCCGGGACATCCCTCTTGCAATCCAGGACCGCTGGCTCCTAACTGCTTGCCTGCCGACCTGATCCCTAACTGCTCTCCCCTGCTGGCCTGATCCCCCTACCTGCTCTCCCCTGCCAGCCTGATCCCCCTAACTGCTCTCCCCTGCCAGCCTGATCCCTAACTGCTCTCCCCTGCCTGCCTGATCCCCCTAACTGCTCTCCCCTGCTGGCCTGATCCCCCTACCTGCTCTCCCCTGCCACCTGATCACCCTAACTGCCTTCCCCTGCTGGCCTGATCGCCCTAACTGTGCGATCCTCTGCTGGCCAGATCCCCCTAACTGCTCTCCCCTGCCACCTGATCACCCCTAACCGCCTCTGCCTTGGCCCCACCACCATGGCTTTATCTGGAAGGACCTCTGGTCTAATTAGCATATTACCCTTTATTAGTATAGATAGAGACCTGGTGCATGGGTGGGGGCTGGCTGGTCTGCCCTGAAGGGGGTCCCGGATCAGGTTGGGTGTCCCCTTGGGGGGCAGGCCAGCCACACCTCCAATTGGGGTGGGGGGGTCCCCGCTGGGGTGCAGGGGCTGCCAGAGGTTTGCAGGCCGGCCACGTCCCCATCAGGGTGGGGGTCCCTGCTGGGGGCGGTGCCGGCCTGGGCGAGGGGCTGGGGTGGTTTGCAGGCTGGCCACACCCCTGATCAGGGTAAGGATCCTCTCTGGGGGTGGGGCAGGCCTGGAAGAGCCTGGGCGAGCCTGGGCGAGGGGCTGATGGCCATTTGCAGCCTGGCGAGGCCCCCGATTTGTCAGGATGGACATCCGGAATACGTCTGGTCTAATTAGCATATTACCCTTTTATTAGTATGGATATTCCTGATTAATAGTACTCTTTCATGTGTTTACTGGCCATTTTTCTTCTATGAATTATTTTTGTAATTTTGAAAGAAGATTGTCTTTATTTTTATTGCTCTGAAGGTTTTATTTTTATGTATTTTGAATATTAGCTTTTTGTCAAAGGTATTATAAATATTTTCTTCTAATTTATCATTTGTCTTTAACTTCACTTGTTAATTCACTTAATTTCTTTGAGCCTTAGTTTCATCATTTGCAAGATGGGGAATATGGCAGGAGGATTTAATGATGTACTTGAAAGCATTGTTTTCTTGTGGGCTTGTTGCGATGTTGTTTGGGAGTTCTCTGGTGCTCCGTGCCCTTGTCTTGAGAACCAAGGAGCTCTATTTAGCTTGATGACACTAAATAAAGGTCACAGTTTGTGACATAAGAGGTGAACCTCATGAATTATCGCATGATCATCATTGGTTTGTGACTGGGTTTTACCAAACCCAGCCACGACTAATCTTCCCCTAGACATCAGGGTGCTACAAGAAGAATGTATACCTGAGGAGCTTAACTTTTTAATATTCTTCCAACTAGAAACAAATATACTTAAAGGCTAATAATGGTGGTTATGTCTGTGGTGCAATTATGGTTTTAATTTTCTTATTTTATAATATTTTCAGGAGTAATTAAAATGAACAAGCAGTTTCTTATACTTGGAAGAATTAGAAAAAGCTATTGTCACAGAGGTGTCATACTTCAGGCCTAGAGAGGTTCAAAGATATTAATGTTGATGGAAAAGGACCCTTCTTTCTCTCCTTTAACTGTTTCTCCTTTTTCCCCTTAGGATTAAAGAGTTGCATTTGAATTTATGGTAACTCATTGGCAGAGAATATAGAAATTATAGTGTATTTCATTTTTTTTCTGGTGTTGTGTGTATCTTTTTCCTTAATTTTAAAAGTTTATTCATAGGATATTCCTAGAGTAAAATTTATGAAGCTTATAAATAAATATCCATTTAGGAGACAGTGTTAATACATTCATTACAGTAGCATTTATTGATCTGTTGTGTAAAAGGTTCTTTGGGGTGCTAAGAGATAAATAAGTCATCACCTCATCCCTCTGCAGCCCTATTTAGGACATAGCCATTAAACAGTTAATATGTGCAAGGCATGAAACGTTATAAACTGAGTAGAAGTGTTAGATGAAGGAACAAGGAAGAGAGATTTGAGTTAAAAAGTTTAAGGATAAGAATTGTGGGAGGTGGAAAGTGACATTCTAGGTGGAAAGAATCATTTTGGCAAAGACACAGGCTTATATCAGTGCATGACAGAGTTGAGTAATACAGAAGAAACTGACATGGCTGCTTTGTTCACGGAGAGATGAAATATGAAAGATGAAGTGCTTCTAAGATGTTGACTTGTTCAGCATTGCAGCTGACAAAATTAACTTTCGTGGGTACTTAGATTTAGAGTAAATAATCCCTTGAGACTATGTGCTTATGGACGTTTCTATATTATAAAATAAGGATATAAATGCCTTGGTTAAAGGATTATTGAATTAGTGTTTTGAAATACACCCATTTTTTTAAAAATTCATGAGTATGTTAATGTAAGTTTCTGGAAACTCCTTTTAGCAGCACTGAGACCTGGAGTCAGCCCTGAGATTTTACTGGGTCAGGGGCCTCCTCAGCAGCCTCCGCAGCAAAACAGAGTCCTTCAGCAACTGCAGCAGGGAGACTGGAGATTGCAGCAACTTCATTTACAGCCTCGCCATCCTCAGCAGCAGCAGCAGGATGCTTATATGCAGCAGGTAGTTCCTTTGTTACTTTAGACGTGAAAGTAGTGTTGGGAAATGCATGCAGCTTTGAATATCAGTGAATTCCTTTTCTTATCATGGGCACCTTGAACTCTAGAGCCAGGTAAACATTTTGCTTAATTTTTTGACTACTAAGGAATATGTATTTTATTTGCATTCATGAACTACTTAAGAATACTCTGTTGAAATAGTTGCATCATGGCTTTATAAGGCAAAGAATATCTAGTCATTTGGCATCATGAATAAACACTGCAGTCTATGATAAATATTTTTTTTAGTTATATTTTGAGTTCAGATACGTAAACTATAATTACGTTATTGCTGGAAAGGTGATATTAAGCTTAGAGAAGTAACATTGTCATAAGGTTTTGTTTTTGTATTTTTGCTTGGTGTGTTTATGGATAGTGGAGGGAGGAGGCATTTAGAGAACTAAAAATGACCTTAAGTTCTGTTCTGTGCTTTGCCTCATCAGAATCTGCAAAGTTCTAGTTTCACTAAACTATTTTAAATTTAATGACTGTCACCATTATCCTTTCATCATTTCCCGAAATATTTTTGAGCCAGTTATATGAATGGCACTTCTCAGGGTTGCCTCCCTTCTCTGGTCTTGACTGATAGATCCAGAGTGGAGGGTAGTTAAGTAGGTGATGGCTAGAAGATATAATTGAAGGGGAGATAAGAGGAGCTTGGGAATTGAATGTAATGAGTTCTGGATACAAGTAACTTCAGGGTCTCCATCAACTGGTAAATGTGTTTAGGTTTCATCCCAGCATCCTTAAACTGTGCTAGAAATGATTTTGGTCGAATCCATTATGTTTCATTGATAATTCTGAAGCCATTTCCAATAAACATATATAAGTTGTAATTACTATAGCTATTTTACATTGGTGTTTGGACTTCTGAGTATCCCAGTCATTGTTACGGTAAGATCAGCATGTAAAAAGAAAGACTGTGGCACAAAAAAGGCATGAGTAATATTGATGAACTTGTTTACTTTTCTCCTTGTAGTATCAACATGCAATGCAGCAGCAACAGATACTGCAGCAACAGTTCTTAATGCACTCAGTATATCAGCCACAGCCTTCTGCACCACAGTATCCTGCAATGGTAAGTGTTACATAATGTCTGGAGATTTCTCTCTGAATATGCTGTTGAAATTCACAGTGTGAGTGGCATTATTCAGAATTTAATTATTTCAAAATCAATTCAAGTTAGTTAATTATACATCCTATATAATAAAAGCCTAATATGCTGTGTCCAGTCGGCCATTCAACCAATTAAAGCATAATATGCTAATGATATGCTAAGGCCGCTCAGCTGTTCCCTATGACATGCACTGACCACCAGAGGGCAGACAGTCGACCGGTCGTTCAGTTGCTATGATGTGCACTCACCACCAGGGGGCAGGTGCTCCGACTGGTAGGTTAGCTTGCTGCTGGGGTCTGGCTGATTGGGACTGAGCGAGATGGGCCGGACATGCCCTTGGAGCCCTCCTGCAGTTCCTCCAGGATGGCCAACCTCCTGTGTCCCTCCCCGGCCCCGATTATGCACTGGTGGGGTCCCTCAGCCTGGCCTTCGCCCTCTTGTAATCTGGGACCCCTCGGGGGATGTTGGAGAGCCGATTTCAGCCCAATCCTGCAGGCCAGGCCAAGGGACCCCACTGGTGCACGAATTTGTGCACCGGGCCTGTAGTGTTTTTATATATCTCTATATACATCTATATAGAATTGATTTTTAGAGAGAGAGGAAAAAAGAGAAAGAGAGAGATAGAAACATTGATGAGAGAGAAGCATCATCAATTGGCTGCCTCCTGCATGCTCCCCCATGCCTGGGTTTGGGGATCAAGCCCAAAACCCAGGCATGTGACCTGACTGGGAATCAAACCATGACCTCTTGGTTCCTGGGTCGGCACTCAAACACTGAGCACACCAGCTGGGCTAAGTACTTATATTTTATCAAAGCAGTCATATATATATATATATATATTTTTTTTTTAAAGCAGGACAACTGTGATAGCTTTTGTTTTATATTGTGGTAAATATATTTAACATCACATTTACCATTTTATCCCCTTTTGAGTGTACAGTTCAATGGCATTTAAGTACATTCACATTATTGTGCTCTCTATCTCGGGAACTTTCCTGTCATCCCAAATTGAAATTCCGTATCCATTAAACAGATGCTGCTCTTTCTCCCCTCCCCCTCAGCCCCTGGTAAAAGCTATTCTACTTTATTATTATTATTATTATTATTATTGACTCTTTTAGGGATGTTACCCATTTCCCTGCCCACTCCCAACCTTTGCCTCCCTCCACCCGGCCCCTGTCCCTCCCCTCCTCCCCAGGCCTTTACCACATTATGTCTGTGTCCATGGACTATGTATATATGTATATATGTATCCTTTGGTTGATCTCTTCCCATCCTCCCCTTTCTTCTGCCCCTCTGAGATCTGTCAGTTTGTTTCATTTACCCATGCCTCTGGTCCTATTTTATTTTATTTTAGTTTAGTTTATCATCAATTTATTTTATTCTTTAGATACCACATATAAGTGAGATCGTGTGATTCTTGTCTTTCTCTCACTCAAAGTCAGTCATGTATTCTAAAGCAGCTTTAAAGTGGGATGAACTATAGCACCTGAATTTGGCACTTTTTAACTAGCTGATAGTATTTTTTGTTTATCTCATAGTATAAGGAAAATGGGTCTGTTACCCATGATCTTTTTGTCCTATGTCTCTTTCACTTGGCAAATATCACTTGAAGAAAATCCAAAGGAAAATTATGTTTGTTTCAGAGAATAGTTTGATCTTTTTTATGGCAACCACCGTATTATAAGAACTAACATACTCTATTATCTTAAAATATTTAAAGGATAATTTTTGAATCCTTCCACATTAGCCTAGCTTCATAATTTCTAAACTAAATTTATTTCATTTTGCTGTATTTTTCTAATAGCGAATTGCTCCTGCAGATATAAATTATTTTTAATTTTCTGCTTTTATTGCCAATGTGAAAAGAAGGAACGTAGTGAACAGGTGTGGGGTGACAGTGCATTAGTGAACTCGAGCATTGTTTTGTATAATGGCATTTCTTGTTTCAGGTGCAGCGGTATCAGCAGGCTTTCTTGCAGCAGCAAATGCTAGCTCAGCATCAGCAGTCTCAACAACAGGCGTCACCTGAGTATCTTACCTCCCCTCAAGAGTTCTCACCGGCCTTAGTTTCCTATACTTCATCTCTTCCAGCTCAGGTTGGAACCATAATGGACTCCTCTTATAGTGCCAATAGGCAAGTATTTTTCCAGTGAATGCTAAGGAAATTCTTATGGAAGTAGGTGTAATTGTGGATTGGAGTCCTTAAGCGGCTCCTGAATTAGTTTAGAGCCCATCTTTCTGTAGCGTCCCCTCCTCCTCATCCTCCTCTCTTTAAAATCAAATGAACATATCCTTGGATAAGGATTAAAAACAAAAAGAAGCACATAGAGATTGTTCCTCCATTACCAGTGTTAGAACATCTGGATCTGAATTAGGAATGACCTTGACAGCTTTTTTATGTTGCCTCATTCCTATGCTGTATTTGCAGGCTGGATTGAAGGGAGGTGCCCAGGGATTCTTAGGTTAATCTTCTCTTAAAAGCTAAGAGGCCTATTAGATAACTTTCATAGAACTATTGGTCTCAGACTCCAGACTATAGATACTTTAACACCATGAAAGATTTATTATATAGAAAATAACCCTCATCTAGTTTTAGCTAATTTATAAAGCAACTCCAGCAGTTAATAATTTGTTGGTAGCTACTTAGAAAATGCCTCTGTTAAAAGGAAAGTTACTGTGACTTCTCACAGTAAGGACATAAGATCACCTTAGCAGTGATTTTAGAATGATGACTTTGATATGGCTACTGATTTTCATTTTAAGGCTTGTTTACTATGATAATAGTTAATATTTATTGAATGCTCACTATTATTTTTTTACGAGACACTGTTCTCTTTACTTTATGTGTATTAAATCATTTAATCTTCTCAGTATTCCTATGAGGTATATTCTGTTATTCCTGTTTTATAGATAAGGATGCTGAGACATAGAGAGGTTAAGGTACCTACCTAGTGACCTTAAAGAGCCTGTTAAAATCCCAGTTGGTTTTTCTCTTAATCAATGCCCTTATCTGTCATCTCCATAACAATACAGCCATCTGCTTTCCTAAGCATGTTTAAAGTAGAGCATTTAAAAAATTCAATTTTAATGTTTTTTCTTCTTTTAATTATTACCTTAGGTCAGTTGCTGAAAAAGAGGCAGTTGCAAATATTACAAATCAGAAGAACTTCAGTAACCCACCTGATATGTCAGGGTGGAATCCTTTTGGAGAGGATAATTTCTCCAAGTTAACAGAAGAAGAACTGTTGGACAGAGAATTTGACCTTCTAAGATCAAGTAAGGGACACTTGAAGGCTTATTTTGCTTCAGAGTAAAATAGCAGCTCTATAATTATTCAGCAAGGCCAAAGACTGCTTTAAGGGGGTAAATAGAAAATTCTTTTTGCGCATTTGAGGGCAAAAATCAGGCCATCTTCTCTAACACATACAGAACTATCAAACTATGTTGCGTGCATTAGAACTCAGTTGCTTGATAGTAGCTATTAAACCCAAGATTACTGATAATACACTGATTCCTAATGCTTAAAATATATTGTGTATTATTGAATGTTAAGTTCAGAATATCTCCAAAACATGGAACATTAATGTTCAAATAAAAAGGGAGACATTAGTATCTTGCCTTACTAGTAATCATTTTGAAGCTTTGTGATTTTTGCATATTCAAAAGAAGATATTGTGGGTCTGAGATGCCCTTTGAAAGTGCCTGAAAGAAAACATGGGCTACTACATTATGTTAATGTTTTGTAATGCCCTTTTAATGAGTGATAACATGAAAGGGCTGCTTTGTTGTCCTGATGTGGCAAAAGTTAAATAAATTCTTTTCCATTTTAAATCAGATATCTCAATGTTTTTACTTGGAATCATTGCCTTTTCTTTTTGCCTTTTCTTAAACTACCTAATATATATATCTCAAGCCTCACCATACATATTTTAGAAGAGGTCCTTTTTTGGAAAAGGGATCTGTGGAGTGTTTTAGGAGGTTGCCAAATTGGAGCAAAACACTTACTTCTGGTGCATGTCATTTTCAGGTTTCTCAGGCGCGCGTGTGTGTGTGTGTGTGTGTGTGTGTGTGTGTGTGTGCATTCAAGTGTGTTTACCCATTTTTGCATGTGAAAAAAAGATCTTACTTGTCCCTAGTTATAATTTCTAGTTTATTTTAGGTAACTTGCCTCATGAGAACATTTACTAGATGAAATGATTTGTTGCACATTAGTATATATTTTATGTAAAATTTTAAATGCCCTGAGTTAATGTAAGAATAGTTGCTTGGGATTTGAATTTGTATTTTACATATTGGTCATATGATTATCAAAAATTAAATTGATGATTAAACGCAGATATAAAAATGAGTTCTGAGCCTTTAATAAAAGTTTGTTAACTTTGGTAAAACCAATTCTACATCTTTTTATTAAAAATTGTTTTTTAACCACAACTTTCTTGCTTGACATTTCCCCTACAGTTTATGTTGAGTGACCTCAAAGCAAGGTTTTAAAAAAGGAAACAAAGTATTTGGGGGTTGGGGGGGGAGATTGGCAGGGAGGCACAGGGATAACCAGATCACTATAATTTACAGAATTATTTTTAAAGCAATAGGAACAATTAAAATACTTATTTTAATGTGTTCTTACTGTGAGTGTAACCAAGGGTTTGTTAAATCAGTATTTTTTATGTCTTTGGTAAAAAACTCCTTTTTTAAAAAAACTAATTTATGGAATGGGTAAACTGTTCACATAATTTTGACCTTGTAAAGATTTGTAATGACATCCAAGTTTAATTTACGTCATATAGGCAAGAATGGCATATAAATATTCATGTGTACAGAATTTCATAAAAATTGGTTTAGCATGTAAAATTCTTTAAAAAGAATTTTTTTAAGTTGATTTCAGAGAGGAAGGATGCGGAGGTGGCGGTGCAGGGAGAGAAACATCAATGATGAGAGAGAATCACTGATCGGCTGCCTCCTGCATTCCCCACACTGGGGGCATATGCCTCGACCTCCTGGTTCATAGGTTGACAACACTCAGCCACTGAGCCATGCCAGCTGGGCAGTTAGCATGTAAAACTCTTAACCAGCTATTTGCTTTCAAACTTCAAGGTTGGATAATGTGTGTACTTTATATATGTAGTTGTGCACATGTACATATGCCAAAGAGAGTTCAGACTTCATTACACTGTTAATTATGGAAAGGTGTTAAGTTCCAAGTAAAAGTATAGGAGGAACTTTATGTGAAGGTCATACTTGGAGTAACTCATCCATTTGGCAAATTGCCTGGATAGTCCCTGAGTTATGGAAATCCTTGTCAGAGACTGATGCACTTAAGTTGGCATATAACACCAGAAAATAGGAACTCTGAGCCCTGACGTGCCATTTAACTAGGTTGTAATCTCAATGAAGTCACTTAACTGCTGTCTCACTTCCTCACTTAAAAGCTGAGTATAATGATGCTTTAACTAAGAGTGTTCTCAAGAAAATTAAGTGAAATGTCTTTAAAGAATCTGGGCACTCAATAAAATGCCACTTTCCCTTTTCTCACCTTCTGTGTAAGTCTTTAGGTGCCAACTTATGAGGTTATTGCCTTTTAACCAGAATTTGAAAATTATATTTAAATTATCAGGTTTCTCAGCTGGCAATCAAAACACCAAATTGAAGGGATTTTGTGAGCAAACACAACAGCAAGAGTGACAGGTAACAGCAATGAAGGAGATACAGAAACATGTCTTTTTTTCTCTTAGTAATTGATAGTCATAAAAATTGGGTTCAAGAAAGGTGAAATGTTTTAGTAAAGTTTACAAAGAAATTAAGAATATATAGATATAATTTAGAAAGTCTTCCTCCTGAAGTTTTACTTAGCTGTGCTATTCAGTCATCTCTAGCACCTCTTTCACTCACCAGCAGAAATGTATCTAATATTTGATCTAGTTGATAGATCAGGTTTAAATTACACCGATGGGCAAAAGACCTCTTCCAGAAACTTAAAGAGTTTTGGTAAAAGCTAGTGTCATGAAAGTTGATTGTTTGGTCATTATTGCTTGGTTCCTCTGTCTCTTAACAACTTTACAAAAATGAATAAATAAATTATTGATTTATTTGAAGTACCAAATTCATCTTTTTTTCCTCAGGCAGTTATTTTTCACCAATTTTCAAAGTCCTTTATAGAATAATTTAGATTTGGTTTATGAGATACTTTCTTAAAGGTATAACCATTGACCATGTAATGATTGCTCATACTAATACATTCTTATTTCACATTTTATTTTTAAAATGATACATGGCTATTTATTAAAAGAAAAAAATAAAAAGCATTTGGTGTTTAGGAAATACTTATGTCTATTATCCAGAAGATAATGTTAAAATCATATATTTTGAGATACTAAAATTATAACAAGAGCTGTTTTTTAGTGATCTTTAAGAAAATAGTTAGAAAGGGATTTAACATGTGAAATAAACCAGATTCTTCTTACTTTTGCTTTTAGTGTAACTGAATATCATTTATGCTTCAGAATTTTTTACCTGTTCCTAATTAAAACCAAAACATTAAATCAAAATGAAGAATTATTAATACAGCTGGCCTCAGTGATATTTTTAAAAATTTAAGTATATTTTTCATTGTCTGTTGTACCAAAATATCTAGATTAGTATGTAAACTTTGGTAATCTAATTGTCATAATATTTAACACATTAAATGCTAATTAGAATACAGGTGTTTGCTTTGGGAAAATGTTTAACTTGCATTTGTTCAAATAGCTGTGTAGCTCTACATGTTAATTAAAAATAATACTTAATAGAATGGAATATTTTTTTGTCGATGGTGAATTTATTGTTTGTTTGTTTTTTGTTTGTTTAAAATTACATCAAAACTAAAAGGAAGAATAGAAGAAACTAAAGACTGGCTATTTTGCAAAATCTACTGAATGTGTGTTTTGTTTTGTTTTCTATGAAGCCACAGAATAAAAT